ACAATTCTCCTCCTGTTTGACATCCAGTGCATGAAGTCGAGTGTGTGTGCACATACAGTAGGTGTAAGAAGTCAATCTGCAAAATGACAAAACCTTCATGTTTTTATCTTTGCTCCAGAACTCCAAAACCAAACTAAAATGGCATTTTCCTTCCCCCAAACCTTTCATTTTCTGAGTAGCCTCCAAAGAAAATTCATTTAAAAACCACCAGCTTGACGTTGGATTTCATATACAGTAAAAGAAAGTGACACTGTGGAACGGTTGACCTGCAATTAAGACAAAAACAAACAATGGAAAGCAGCTCATTATGACTCATAATTACCTGTATTGGCCACAATATTTATGACAGTAATAGCCCCTTTTCACTACTACCTAGTCAGTTTTGGTCATTTTCCATTACAGTTGTGTACAACTATGTGTGTGGGGTTGTTATAGCAATCCTGCTGAAATCCCGTGAGGTCATTTGCATGCAACAGGAACACAACACAACAACGGAGGATGTCAAGGTGATGCTTACCTGCTGCTGTGTTAGTGGCTTTTTCTAAGACTCTGGGACCACGGTGTTGTTTTTTGTGCAGCCATTTCCCTTGTTGTTGGGTTTCAGAAATGGCGGTTTGGGTTTGTGAAGGAGACGCTCTCATGACACCACTGACGGACCAATGGGTGGCATGAGGTTTTTTTAATGTCACATTTTCAGTTCGCCTCAGATCGCTTAGAACCCCAGCCAGGTGCGTACTAAAAAAGTACATAGTACCAGGTACCACCAAATAATAACTCTAAAAAACCGAGTTCTACGTTTGTACATGAGGGAACTTCCATCTTCAAGTAGTATTAGAATTCAGAAAATGTCTTTAATGAAGGTTTTTAGCCATGAAATATACAGGCTCCATTGCTTGCTGCTGCTCATCGGAATAAGGCAGCCACCATATTGCTCAAAGGAAGCCCAATGGAGGACAAAGTCTATACAGTATCAAATATCATAAATGTTAAGCACGTGCTTTGTCACAAATTCTAAACTGCATTGATAATATAGGTTACTTAGTAAAGGGTTTCATAGCAAAATGTTGATGACCATGATAGTAACCAAAACAGTTCTGCAGTATAATGTTTAAAATTCATATTTGACTTCTCCAGCAGTGTTTTTATAAGACTGAGCAATAAAAACTGACTGTAACACGTGAGGACCATGACTCTCCTCATCTAAATGAGTTGCCTGTTCTTGTCAAAGTTTGACTTGCTCTGAGAGCCGCTCGGAGCAAGTTAACTGGCTCAAAGTCTGTTCTTATCAGAGCTGCAGAACTTTAACATCTTCTAACTTTATTTTTTGGATATCGACACACAAAGAAGACTGTGCTTCTTTGCTCCTCCATCCCAAACATCTTCTTGTGACTGGATCTCGCCTTCCCTTTCTCTCACTCTACTTTTCTCTCTCCCTTGCCCTTTCATACTGGATGAAGTCAGTAACATAGAGAGTGATGCGCTGACACTCTCATTGCGATCAATTTTTGTCGACTGCTAATTTTCCCGATGCCTGTATGTTGTGACAGTTTCACATAGCGACTGGCAGAAATCTCCAGCAACCACTTGCCAACTGATTGGAGAGTCTCTAAAGCAGGTCTTATACTTTCTAGTCTGCTGCTCGGGTAACAATAATGATTATTTGGCCATCGGGTCTCCAGCTGTCCGTGTCCACAACCGAATATAATACAGGCTTAAATGTGGGTGTGTGGGCTGTAGCAATCAATCTGTATCAGGGAGTATACATTTTTCTCTTGGCTGGTTATAGATTGGCATCAGACAAACATCTCACAAGCCCTGATGCAACAGCTATGAGAATAAATGCATCAATGGTTTTAACTGTGTAACCCAAAGCAGGTTATGAAGAGTGTATTTGCCAACTTTGCCTGACTTTGTACTGTTATTCAACCTTTATCCACAGAACTTTATATATAGTATTGTATACAGTGTATGATACACCAGTAAGTAAACAAGTTTTTATCAATAATAAAAAACAGCAAAGAACTGTGCTTGCAAATCTCCAATCCACTATCTTTACATAGTTTTCTTCCACAATAATGAACAATAAGATTTGAATATAAAAGGATGTCTACCGAACTAAAACCAGAGTAGACGACATTAATGTGTAAACGCTCCCATGAGAAAAATATTTGTGTTTTGAATGACGCTTTGAGTTGATAACATGCCAAAGCAAAAGTTCTTCTTCCTGTTTTAAAGTTTAATCCTTGACTTATTCTGATCAACCTTTTATTTACTCAATTTTTTGTAAAGATTAAAGAAGACATTAGGGGTTTTTTTCCAAGTTTAAAGCCTTTCCCCACAGGCCAGCAAAAGGTGTAACCTGTAAATGTAAACCACAGAGGATTCAGAGAAGAGTGGGCTGTCTTTTCAGAGTAGTACTTTATTTTTATAGGGTACTTGTACACCAACAGTAATATAAAAATCACTTTGAGATATTTATTACAGACACACTCTATGAGAATTGCATATAACATCTATGTAATTAAGTTACAGAAATGTAGACCATTTCCTTGATAATTCCAGTGTTTAAGCTGACATATTGCCGACACGTGGAAAGCATGGACAGAGAAAGCAGCTGTTGTCGGGGTTACGCTGAGTTCATCCACACCTTTGCTATTGAAATTAAGTTATTGCAACACTTGGTATTTGCTTCCCCAGCCTCATTTTAAAAAGGTGTCTGAGCAGCAACGTGTTTATCACAATAGCAATTCAATTGAGTGTTTGTCATACACCGCTGCACTGACACTGTTTATTTGAATAAACAAAAATAAATCATCCCACCCCTCTCTTGCAAGCAGTGAATATACTAATCATGCACTGTAAGTGAAAGGCTTAGCTCGCTCCATGAGAAACCACAGACTGTAAAGTGCGACAATAAATTCATTTCACTCTGTCACGTTTATTGTGGTATTGATTGTCGGTTTAGATGGATCCATGTTGTTTACAAAGACAGATGTCTCCCAGTAACTATCTGATTGTCTTTTCTATTTTTGAAAACCCAATGGGATTATGATGTATGTGATCACTGGTATGTGCATTGATCCGGTATGTGCATTATCTGTAACAGCAATCAGAAGCGTTGTCACTCAATTACACTGTACCTGATTTTATTAGTGCTAACCAATGCACCTGTGTGCTGCCAAAGCTTTACACAGAATACAAACAACTAATAAATATACATGAGGCCTTAGTCTGTGCCAAGTCTCGACTGATTGGCAATGACGTACACTTAACAGATACATAGCTATCTGGAAGACAAGTGTGTCCAAAAAAATGATTTAGCCATCCTGCCATAGATGTGTATCTGTTCCAGTACCTCATTGATTTTAACCGAGAGACTGCGCTGTGCTCTCCAATAAAAACATAAAACCAGTTAACTTCATCTACAGACAAAATGGCAGTAATAAATTGTCCAATTCAGCTGTACCACCACATGTTGTTTTCCATTAAGGATTATGTCATATGAAAACGATACAGACATCAGAGCCACTGGTCAGTTCATCTCGACAGCTTGGCTGCTGAGACAACCGGCTGCTAGATTCTTGCATCTCCAAAAACATCAGAGCCGATTTCAAAATTTTAGAATGGATTTCATTAAGGAACATAACAGCAAAAACAATCAGCTTTAAGCTCAGATCAGTGAGGTGGCATAAATATACTGCGCTTCAGATCAGTTCAAATGTATTGCTGGTGTGCGTTGTCTCCATTTAACACAATTACATGTGAACAAATAAGCAGCAGCCTGGTACAGTCCTACCTTGGGCTGACTTTGTCGGTGTCCTGTTGCTGTTGACCTTATAGTACGCATGGTGGACAGCAGAAGGTGTTTGCACTGAAAAAGAAACCACTGCAGCAGTATGATGCTACATGCACGGAAATTAAACAGTTCTCGATAAATGAAACACATAATGCACAGTGCATTGTGTACTATAATTATTTTTAATAAAGGTAAAAACATATAATATTCATTTAAATGTTTTAACTCTAAAACTGTCAGTTTGGCTTCAAACAGATGTGAAGATTTTACATGTTCGTTAATCCTCACAACTTTAATTCACGAGGATATTTAACCCTCTGACATCTAAGCTGTCCTCGGTCATGACACCTACCGTAATATTGCATTTAAATTCATCTAAGTGTTCAATAAAAATAACAACAACAATAATAATAATAATAGGCCAGATAATGGGAGTAAGGGTTAGGTTTACAGTTAGCTAATCTTATAGGCTAGAAGGAATAGAAGCTTACGTAATGTTCAAATATGCAAGAAGTCAATGACCTAAAGCTACATTTCACGTGTGATCATGGCCTGATTATTTCACTGTAAGGCCAACTGTACATTAATGATGTTTGTTCCTTTTTTTTTTTTACGTTGAATAGATTCCTTAAAAACTCTTAATCAAAGGCTGTCTTTAATAATTAATTTAAATAGTGTTGAACACTGAATAATATTATTAAAATAACCCCTTTAAAGAGAAATTGTTTTAATATTATTTTTGTTGTATACAGTTACTAGTTAGAAAAGGGTAATGATGGGTAGAGTCAAGGATGGACTACTCAAGTCTTCCGTGACCTCAAGAAAGACTCTGGATGGTAGGGAAGAGTTAACAGATGACTGGGAAAGTACAGCTGGAGTGCTGACAGAAACGGCCGAGATGGTTGTGGAATGACAAAGTACAAGAAAGTATTCAAAGGAAGAGGTAAGTAAGGTCTATTTGTTAGCAACTAAAATAATACAACAAAAAGTAGATATACATACAAAACCCAAGCTGATGTATAAAAAGAAATCTGAAATGAAAAAAAAACATAGTCTTCCACTGCACATTCACTCCAATTAAACCTTTTAGAATATTTTAAAATGCAGTGTAAGTTTCTGGCAAACACAAGAAATCTGTAGCGTAATCTGTAATGGAGTTTTTCTTATAGTTATTTCATATGAAGGCAGAGTTAGGCAGAATGAGTCATCTATGATTACATGTTTATTTCACTGAAGGATTTCAAACTTTATACAGACATCAGCTCCATTTAGAGACAGAGTCAGAGAAAGAGACACACTGAGCAGCTGAGGGCTTCAGTCAGAGTTCATGCAGACTGCAGGACAGCACTGCCTGATCCGCCTGGTGACACAGGCAGGACCTCCTCCGGCTTTGCATGCTGAGCAGCCACCCAGCAACCTCTGACCTCTGGCTAGTCACGGGGTTTTGATCCTACCATCAGCCAGCGGCAGCACAGCTGTAGCAGCAGAGTGAGGCATCCTTGGGCCCCAATTAGGCTTCCGAGTCCCAACCGGCCTGCCGTGGCAGCCCTCCTCCAGGGAACCAGGGGCCTGACACTGATGTGGCTGAACAGCAGCTGAAGGGGAGGGCAGCAGGAGGTGCTACCTTTGAGGCAATGCCAATAAGTGGTTTAAAAATGTATGGCAATCTTGTCAAACTTTCTTCATTTCATGGTGCCATAGCAACTGAGTAAGGCACATAGCATGGTTGGCAGTGGGAAAAAAAAAGAAGGTGGGTCATATTTGTTCTCTCCTTGTCTCTTACATCAACACATACCTACACACTATTCACATTTCAGTGATTCTAATGTAAAGGCTGGTTCAGTGAGGTGATTCTATACAACATTGGTACAAAATGACAGAGAAGAGGGAGGGAAGCTGATTAAGGTGAGGTTTGTTATTTACAGCTAAAAACAAAACAGCACTGTGAGATGATAAAGGCAAAATTTGCCTCCAGGGAAATATCCTACTGAAGTCGGATCTTATTGTAACTCCTCTATCTGCTGTACTGCCGGTGTAACTCATAGTTTGATCATTTGTCAGCACGGCAGCTCAATAAGGAGAGATCATTTGGAAGAACCGAACAGGATTTGCTGAGATACAAAATTCAATTAAGCTGTTTGGCGATTAGGCTCCGATGACCTATTGCAGCAAAACAGAATTTCTGAGGTGATACGAATTAGTGCAGGACCCCCTGTAGTCTAGACACTGGCAGTGATGAAGTTGATGAGGGCTTGGATGGAGCTCTGAATGACCGAAGTAAGGTTTAGATGGGGATGAGGAGGGATGAGATTTAAATTACACAGAATAAAGGCTGATTGGTTCAGACAAGAAAATGACTGCATTGGTGCAATGTCAGCATTGAGGATGACAACATGGAAAAGTGGAGGTAATGTAAAGAATAGGCTAGCATCCAACAACCTGGAAACCAGGGAGATAAGTGATTACAGAACTTCCTTATTGGATTTACTTATAAGCTTCATAAATGCAAAAGGAATATATATATATATATATATATATATATATATATATATATATATAGTATACATACATATATATATATATATATATATATATATATATAGAGCTGAGCTATAATATATATATATATAATATTATATAATATATTATATTATATAACCATTCATACAGTGAGCACTTTGTCTAACAATTTACACCCACTAAGTGTGATGGATGCATCAGTATCATGCCTGAGGATATTCTAACATGCGGACCAAGGGAGCCGAGAATTGATCCACTGACCTTTGACTCGCTGGATGACTTGAGTGAGAGGACCCTCGATGTGCTACCTGGTGCTCCCCGTTAAGTCAACCATGCCACGGCCAACTTCGCAATACAAGCTGGCAGCAGAAACTGTAAACAATTGTAAAATTGTAGAATTTGTAATTCATACTGTTGTGAACTTGCAAATACCGTATAATTAAATACCCAACGCAGAACCTAGCTGGTAAACAACAGCATCATTGTTTGCTACCACTAGCAAAAAACTCTCTGAAGCTACACCAGTGTTTGTTTTGCTATCTGGCATTTGTGATGGGGTCTGTGCGTGCTCGGAGCTGTTTGATTTTTGATGTTAGTGATTAGCGAACGCCTACACGCAGCTAAGAATAGCTACTGTTGGTCACCCCATTGAGGCAAAGCAGTCCGGAGGGAACGAGTTACAGCCTTCACAAGTGTAATATTTTGACATCCTCAGAATTTTGTGGAAAATCTTTCACACAGTGTTCAGTCCACATGCTTTGGAGTGACTTCTAACAGTTACTTAATGCATGTTTAATGAAATGTAAAAACAAACGCACAGCGTCTGTCACTAGAAAGAATTCTAACGTTAATACATCACAATTCCAATGCCATTACTTTAAGTAAGTTACTTCTAGCTGCTTCCTGATTCAGACAGGTTTTCCATAGTGTGTAGCTCAGTATAGCTGATTTGGCATTTTTATGATGGGTTTGTGTCTCCTCCTGTGATCAAACTTGTTGTTGGTGGTCATGTAAACCACTACACTATGGAGCCTAAATGCACTTTCATTACTAAAAAACCTTCAACTTATATATTTGTACTAATGATAGCAATGAATTATGTCCAAATAAACACAAGGTAGCTTACTGTATGTGTTCAAGAGTCTGTCTCTGTCATCCCTGCAATGTAGTGATACCCCTTAGTTTAGCTGCTAAGAAAACGGATGGTCATTGTGAATAGTGTTAGTATAAGTGTAGAGGATGGAACAGAAGGATAGAAGAGACTCACAGAAAGCCAGGTGGGTTCTCATATACTGAAGCCCATGAAGCAAAATGAATGCAGAGGAACACAGAACCAGTACTTCTGTTTTGGTTATAAATCTGCCCTTAATGTGTCCACAGTTTGTGGTAATCCCTTGTGCATTGGTGTGCGAAGCTAGTGAAAATTGTTAGCATGGTTGTATTTCCTCAATGCCCACATCACCACTCGTTTGGTTAAATATGGTCACTTCTAAAACAACTAAACGTTGGTGACGATATTTGGTCTACATCTATGTGTAGGTGGGTCCCACGACCTGAGGCTTCCTAGAAAAATATTACATTTTCACTGTTAATCAATTTACTCTCCATCCATTTTCTTCCACTTATCAAATTCAGGGACGCTACGGGGTAGCCTATCCAGTTATTATACGGTGAGAGGCAGGGTACAACCCATATCTGTCACAGGGCTAACACACAGAGACAGACACGCTCACGCTCACATTCACACCTACGGTCAATTCAGAAACACCAATTAACCTAGCACGCATCTCGTTGGACTGCGGGGGAGGAAGCCGGAGTACACAGATAGAACCCACGCAGAAACACATGGAGAACATGCAAACTGCTGTTCAACTCACCTGAAGCTTGAACATTGGGGCTGATCAGTGTGTAGAATAGTCTTGTAAAGCAGGGGTGTCACGGTCTGCAGAGGCAGGCCGTGCGGTGGTGTGTGTAATGGACCCAGGAGCGTACACAAGTGAGTAGACGGGAGTGAGTTTAACAGAAAGCGAGCCTTTAATTTGACTGAAGACCAGGAATACAAACACAGCAGGGATAGCGTGGCTGAACTATAACTAAACTGGGAAAACTAATACTGTGACAAACTAAGAGAACTCTGAGACGATGATGATCACAAAAGACTGATCGTGAAAACATGGGGGTGAGAACACAGACGACGCGACACAGACTACATGAAACACAGAGACTAAATACACAAGAGGGATGATCAGGGGAAGTGGCCACACATGGGAACACAGCTGACACAGATAAACATAACAAGACATGGCAGGAGTAAACAACACTGACGGGAGACTGTCAAAGTAAAACAGGAAGTACACAGGTGCAAACAGGAGGAGAGAGAGAGCGCGGGCATAGTGGGCTGGGGAAACATGGAATGAAACAAGGAGGGACGAGGGCTCACAGATACACAGAGGGGCACACAGTGGGTAAAAGCCATGAAGGGAAAACACTTAGGGAACAACACAACAGGGCAACTCAGAAAACATGGCCTAAATAGGGAACTGAAATACAAAGATACATAAAACTAAGAATACTGGGCCAACATGGCCCAGGACCATGACAAGGGGAGTTCATCTCTTGCTTTCTTGTAATCTTTACACTCCATCCACAGAGAGTCCACACACACAAACGGGCAGTGTTCACATTATATAATGTAAAAATGTTCACAGCACACTTGGCTGACAGCACCTTCCCAGCTTATGTTAATGAGCATCTCCCATGTTGAACTGTAGCCAGCAGCCTGGCAGTGCGAGGGAGTGAGAATCTGTGCTGTCAATTATCCAGTGTGAAACTAGCCTGGTAGGGACAGCTTGTAGCACTCAGCCACCAAATATAGTGCGCCTAATGCACGTTTGCCTTTCCTTGAGCTGCTTTAAAACGCTTGTTTAATGCACATCAGATCCTTTAAATCATGTCTGAGCCCTGCATTGTGAGAATGATTCAGACCAATATTTCAGTTTGAGCTCTGAGGCAACAAGTGAGGGTTTCCTTGCCCGTAACATAAAAAAATAGTCATAATAGGCCCGCAAGAGGTTTTTGATCAATACAAAAGCGCTTGGTAATTATTTGGCCTGGAGCTGAGGTGTCTGGCCTCCTTCCTAACACAAACCAACGCTCACACACATCTCCCGGCATTTTGAGCCACTTGGCGATCCAGGATGGAACCAATCGCAGCCAAACAGCACCAGAAAAAAAATTAATCTACAAAGGTTGAAGAGTGAATCTGACACGCTGACAAAGCTGCATTGTTATTTCCGCATTTATAATAGCAACATGTTTCCTGTTCACCAGACGTTTCTGCTGGATCCCTGCTCTAATTAACCGACATGCTGCTCTACATTGTGAAAATGGGACTTGTAAAAGGGATGGGAAGGTCTGTGCCAAACACCTGGTGATGTTGTTAGAATTTCTCCTGCTGTCAGACCTCAAAATAGACGGCTTAATGTCCCTTGCTTAATGTTTTTAAACATTCACTAACCTTCCAGCTCAAGTTCTGGGATTGAAAGAAGAGGGAGAATTGGAAGTGATCTGTGCATGTGCGTGTGAGGAAGACAAAGCCTTCATTAAAGATCAAGACCACGGTCATGGTAGTCATATCAAATTCCACCAGACCAGCTGCTATTCAGCCTGGATACAAAACTCTCCAGATGGACTCTCTCCAAGTTCAGCTCTTGCCAATCATTCCAGCGCTTTGTTCATTTTGCTCTTTTTTGGTTACATTTTATTGCTTTTGAAAAGTCAAATGTTTCTCTGGAATTAAAATAATTGCATTCTTAGAACATCCAGGTTTTTCATTTGAAGATGGTCACAGGACACACAATCACCACAAATGTGTGAAACACACTGAAAAGTGTGGAAAAGGCTGGTTTCAGTCATTATGCAAATGTACTGTTTATAAGATTGGGGAAACCTGCAGTCAGCTGAGACTGAAGAAGTCACCTGGATGAGTGACAAAACGCTACGTCCAGATGAACAGAATCAACTTTTGGAAACCAGAATTAGGATTTTGTCTTTGTGCACCTGCAACTAGAGGTTGAAGTTTGTCTCATTGCAGACTAATTTCAGGGGGAAAGTTACTGTATGAAGTACAAATACTTCATTACTGTACTTACATAGAATTTTCAGCTATCTGAAGTTTAATTCAGTGTTTATTTTTTGGACAAGTTTCTCTCTCTGCATTTCGACACAAATATCTGAGCTTTCCACTCGTTACGTTTTAACAGAAGTGTTTTCCTTGGAAAACAGCGAGATGCAGCAGTACTGGCATGTATGACACTATGACAGCACACTGATTAAATTAGTCAGTCGTAATCACAGACACCACAAAAGACAGATTCGGTCACTCACTGGTTTTGTTAAGTTTCATAATATAATCTCAATCTGAACAAGGGGTGGAATGCTTGCGACACTGCACACTGATTGGCTAATGATTTCTGACTGATAAGTGGTTAGCCAATGAGCTTACCTTCAATAATGCTCATTTCTGACTCTTAAAATGCCACCAATTTATAGAATTGACCTAAAACTAGCGACTGCGCTAACAAAGTCATCAGGAAATTGTTTACAGAGTTCACAGAGAAAGGGAGCCATGGGCCATTTTCCCACAGACTTTTAAGCAACTGATTTTTTTTGTAGCCACAGTAGTTGCTCAGTTGTGTCCAGCTGGCTTCCCATCTCAGACCTAGTGCAAAAGATAAACCTAGCTTCTATCTGTCATTTCATTAATAGCTTTTTGTAAATGATCCAAATCCGATGTCACGTACATGCTTTGTAGCATACTTTATTAACACACAGTTGCTGTACAAACACAGTCCGCTGCAGCTTTTCAGCTTGCAGTTGAACACTTTACCAACAACAATAACATGACAGGACCCAGTTCACACTTTCAAGCCCCCATGCAGCGGCACCACAGACCACCCCCCATCACACCGTCGGACAACACTAAGGCTACATCCAGATGAACACAATCAACATTTTGAGAGTTACTTACCTGAATGATTGAGCATACATCATGATAAATAATTTAAAAAATGCTCATACATGGAGATACTGGATACTCTTCAGTAAAAGTCTAAAAGGCAAGACAGTACAAAGCAATAGTTGTTTACTGTGCTCCTGTTAGCCCTCTATTAATTGTATTAAGCAAAATGAAACCTTTGTTACAGTCCATGTCCCTCTCTCCAAGTGTGCGTTAACATTTGCCTGACAAAATTCAGTTCTGTGTCATATTAAGATGCACGAACAGGTCATAACTTTCATGTAACAAAGAGAATGACTGGAAGGAAGAGGGTGCTGCAGCAACCACAGAGAATGTAGCCTTTTATGAAAAATGCAGAAATCAGAGAAGCTGGAAGAAAATGTAAGACGACCCCCTTTGTCTCTTCTCCTGCAGTGTTCTTCAGTCACAACAAGAGTGCCTTTGAAAATGTAACAGTGAAGAAGCTCATAGTCACGTTGTGATACTAGTGCGCCTGCTGGCTCACGGCAATGGATGAAGTCTCCAGTTGTTTTCTGTGCTGCTGAGGAGCGAATGTGCCTTAGATTCTTGGGAAAGTTAAAGATGGCTTTATTCCGTGTCTATGCATGCACAGGCGGCCTCAGTGTCCCACAGAGGGAAAAAACAAAAACACAAAAAAACAAAATCTGAAATTAGGATCGAGTTGTGTGTCAACAAAGATAGTAAAAGCGGTGAGTCCCCTTGTGTATCGTTAGGGGAAGTCATTTGAAGAAGCCCAGTTTTGTTCCCTGTGAAAAATTGCTTGTATAAAGACAAAAAAATGCTAATCTTAACAACTCTTGTATGAGCGTGACCCTTGTGGAACTCTAGCATGGGATTTCTTGTCTAAGTTACCCCCAGAGACATGATAATTTTCCCCAAGTGATTTATTAAATGGGGATGGCTATAGAACAGTGGAGGGCTGTGACTCGGGGGAGGGAGGGGGAAGCGGCATCATTTTCCCCTAGGGTTGTGTGTGCACACAGCTATGTGACAAATTAGTATCAAAAAGTTATTTCTAGAAGCGGTAAGAAAGAGGAGGGGAGAAACTTCTTTATAGCCGATTGTCATCTCACTGTACCCACAGACGGCACTCACGCTGACCGTTCAAACAGCATTAAAAGGAGCCATTTAATTAAATCTAAAACTAAATTGCCTCATTGTATTTGCCCTAAATCTGACCTACCATAACATGCGATGATTTCTCAGGATGAGCAGCCACATGAGATTTCTCTGTCTGTCTTTGAAGGTAAAGGAAACATAAAACAGGAATTGTGTGGTTATTTTCAAACCCAACAGAGATTCTCTTTTAATTGGAAAATTATAAAGACGTCGTCTTTGGTGGTTCTGATGGTTTGTAAGCAATTGAAACATAAACTAAATATACAGAGCCGATAAACTATATCCCTTGTGAGGTTAAACATCTGAACAAACAGAGATGGGAATCCTGCAACGATATGCAGGATACCTGTGGAATATTCCTTGGATCGGCGAGTAAATTTCATCTTCTGTCCAAACATCGGGAGATCTCATTTTCACTGCTTAAGCTTGTTTAAGAAAAAAGGCTTTCATGGAAACAGAATCAAAAATAAATTCAAACTTTAAAATGAAACAAGCGCAGAACACTCACACGCAAATCCACATCAAAGTGTCATCATTTTGCAGCTTATGTCCCATAACTCATATAAAAGTCAATGAGTTTCACATATCATTTGTATTATTTTTCAATATAAATGAAAAATAGGTTTAATTTTCAGATTTGGGTATCAACATCTACATAGGTTTAGAAAACAATCGCGGCTTTGGGTTGAAAATGCAACTCTTTTCTTGGTTGCCATGGTGACACGTTCCTTCTTTGTCCAGACAACATACACTGTAAGCTGCAGACACGAAATATTGTTCCTATTTAAATATATCCAGTAACAGAGTAATACAATTTTCAGGTATCTGTACTTTCTACTGCTCACGTTTTCAAAACAGGTTTGTTATTTTTGCTTTAATGTATTTGGGTCGAGTTATTATTTCGTCAGTGCGAGTCTTGAAATATCAAACCAATTTGAGCCTAAACAGAAACACATCCTGGTCGTTTATTAGTCACAAAAGGAGATTTAAAAAGAGATAGTGCCAAAGTCAGCGTTAAAAGTGGGTCAGTGTTTTTTTGTCTTGTTTTTGCCACAACACTGGAACGACTAGAGGTGTCCGTAAGTGACAGTTGCAGTACTTCAGCCTCTAGCTAGTGCTACAAAAGAGGAGCGAACATAAAGGGAGAGCCTTTCTTTTAAGTGGCAGGTAATTTCAAATGGAGCATTTCTGTCAGCTCAACAAAGATCAGCAAACACACAAAGTGTTTGTGTGCAGTTTGTCTCAAAGTGTGTTGCTAGCTAAAAGGTCCAGCTGCTGGAGAGAAAGAGAGCTAATGTCACTCAGAGATGGAGAAAGATAAGAAAGACAGGGGAGGAGAGGTGCAAGACAGGTTAGATATAAAGGTAAGGACTGCTCAGTGGGATTTAAGAAACTGGAATTTTAAAGCTTACATGTAATTCCTTATGTTTTAAATCAGATATTGGGTCTGTTCATGTAACATGACATTTTTTCCCATATTGTGAAATGTGCTGCAAATCAAACTGAGGTAGACTAACTGCTATTTAAAGGCTGCATGAAAATCCTCTGCAGGTGAGTGCAGGATAAACAGGTTAGTTTGCTGCACTGTGATGGATTTAAAGAACAGTGTGTGGTGCACAGTGCCTGTGGTTTTATGGTCCGATGCTTGGATTCACTGACTGAATTTCACCCTCATACCAACTGCGTAGTGTCTAATATAAAGACAGCATAAACAGTGTACTGTCAGGACGGAAATCAGCCAGGACAACTCATGAAACATCTGCTGACATCTGGTTGAATTCAGTTGTGTAAATCTACAAAGACTAGCAGGTCCGCTGATTACAGCCTGTACACTAAGAAAACTTAAAACAGGAAAAAAAAAATAGAAATATCCTCCACAGAGCTGCTTTTTACTTTCTTACTTTGAGTACATTTCAGAGCCTATGCTTTTTTACTTTTACTTGAGTCCTGCCACGTTCATAAAGCCTTTTATTCAACCTTTCCATGTGATCTCCTCCCCTACTGATCACTTGTCCTCTATCCTGCTGCTTATATGTACTGAACTCTGTCTTTGTCTTGAAAAAAAGAGTAGGGAATGACATAAATTGCCAGTGGCAGGCTTTTTCAAGGAACATATAAGGTCATAAGATTTAAGATGGCTAAATAACATTGGTATACTCAGATGCTGATTTTCTTCTTTAGTCCTGACAGCTACCAGTTAGGAGTCCAGATTCTTATCTGTGGTTTATACACTGTATCTGGTATAAAAGGGACAACTCACTGGATCTGCTCACCATCACATGCTGCAAGGGGACTGGCCTTACCCCCATGCAACGCTCCTAGATGAAGAGCTGTACTTTACTTTATGTCTGTATTCTTATCTGAAATAAACAAAAACGAATGCAGGCCATACAGTGTTTAGTTTTTGATCTTTGCAGTATGTTCATGAAAGCATGCTTTTTGCTGTTAGCTCTGTCTTTGTAAGGAGGGGAGCAATAGATTTTCTCTTTTCCTTCTTTGGTCAAAACGTTCATGAGATCTGAAGAATCTGCCAAAGGGATGTTTACAAATGGAAACTCGAGAGTTGCTCTTTTAAAATGTAAATTATTAATACATAAAAAATTATATGCATGATTTAGTAGTTATTACTATAGCCATTAGTTATGAGTTATTAGTTGAAATTGAGGAACTACTTTCTTCTGGTGTTCTCAAAGTACAAAATAGTTGTGTACCTGGTGTAATGTTAAATTATAGCACTGGTTTTCATCACATCAGTGTTTTTTCATATTAATCAACACATGCCTATACATGTTGCTTGCATATATTGCAATATATTCAAAAATGTAACTGCTGTCTTCCCATATAAATGCATGATTTAATCATACTATAATGGCTGTAGCATATGTATGTCTGTATGTTCCCCATTTGTAGCACATAGCAAATATACACTATTTGTTGACATATAGTGCACACATGCTGCATTTGTTTAATTTGTGCATATTCTACATTCCTTACACTCCATTTTTTTATACTGAGCTGTGACTGTGTCTGACTGTGTGAACGAAATCATGGGAATCTTGAAAAACATGCTTCTTGTCAGTGACACTGCAAACCTATATATATATAAAGATTAGCAAGAAACTAATGTTAACAGCATCATAACAGTCATTGCTCTCCCACATTGTTTTAGTGCATTATCTGGATTCTCCACACCATATATAAAATGTAATGTTTTATGTTACACTCAGTATTTTTGTCCACTTACAAACGAGACAAAATCATCTGTTTTTGCAGTTCCTAGGCCAACCTCCGTGTGTACAATTCAGCAAGTAGCTCCTCCCATTCCCTTTTCTGATTAATGGTCAGTGTGTTACAGTATCATTAGAAACGGGAAAGATTTCAGTCAGCATTGTCCACTTTGGTGCCTCAAGATAAATGGAATGAAGACAAGTCCTGCATAAGCTATATACATGGAAATGCACATGTGTATATCTGACAGCAAGGTTCAGACCTTTGTTATGTCAGAAGTCTTGGCTTAAAAGTTACCATTTGCAGTCATTATGGGTAATGATTTCCCCATCATTCCATTTCTTGTGCAGCACACCACAGGAATTACTGAAGTTAGGAGCCTAGATCAAGAAAGTGGGGAAGCCAAAATGATCCCAGTTAAAGGTACAGCTAAACTATGCAATGTGGTGAGCACCAAGGCTCAAGGTACTGGCGACGTTGTCAGGAAGCTGCCTTATATTTCCAACACCTTATAGAAAGGTGTTGGAAATATAAGGCAGCTATATAAGGCAGGAAGGGGAAAGTTGAGGGGCACAGCAAGGATGGAGAATGAAACCAAACCAGCCATTAGATGTAGATCTGGGGATCTACATCTATATGTAGGTTTACTTTAGAGGCAAGTTCCAACTTTAAAATCTTTGTTTGCGAAAGTGACAGAGATTGAGATGGTCAAGCAGGGCAGGCCTGTGTGTTTGGAGGACACAACATATATAGTGGAAGGGGAATGGGAATGTCAGAGGATTTACATGTGCTTGACTGTGAGCACAAGTCACTAAAGCCACTAACGGACTGACAGTGTTCATTTCATTCCTTCTTGCACGAAGACATTGGTTCTGAGGCTTCATGCAATTGCACCTATGGACGCCATGAGCTAGACTACCTGGGCACCATTTCACAATTGACCTAAACTGTACCTGTTTACAACTGCACCTAGATTAAAACACAAGTTGACTATCTACATGTGTTTAATTTTAATTTTAATTTTTTTTTGTGTCTCGTTAAAAGCCATTGAAAAGAGCACAAAATCTCATCATTCTGTACTTAAAACATACAGAATCTGTTAAAGATACACAATATTTCATGTGAATTTAAAGCTAAAATAACGTTGTTTTTTTTATTATCCCAAAGGAATACAGTGATGGAAATAAATTATGTGATCGTTAGTTTAAGTTATTTTGCAATATTTTTCTGACACTATTTTTCTGACATTGGTTTTACCAATCTTTAAACTTGTTTTTATTTTTACAGAGTATCTCTGCATACAAGATACCCTTTGCTTTAAATTTAAAACAGATACATTAAAATATCTATAGTTAATTTAAAGCAAATACAGAAATACAACAAAAGTGGGGTACAAAACAACCTTGATGCAAACTTAAAACCACAGATAAAGAAAAGAACAGACTAGCCCACAAAAATATCATATTTCCAAACCTTTTGCTAAGAATAAAACAATCAAACTGCACAAAGCTTTAAATCCTTTCAAAGTTTCTTTTTATTTCATCAGCAAATTATGTTAATTAAAGCTCATGCTAAGAAAAGTTTCCAACTGAGTTCAAGAAAATGGAGAAAACCTCCATTAATCTTATAATCAACCATACAAAGAAGATGGAAAAGCAATAGAGACTGCACTGATGCATGCTCAGGCATCCAGGTAAGTAAATCCCAAAAGGCTGAATCTGTTGATCTGGACGTAACGTTTTCAATGGGAGAAACATTCTCCTTCAGTCACTTGGATGAGTGAGGAAACATTTCACCCACTGAAAACGTTACGTCCAGATCAACAGATTCAACCTTTTGGAATCTAGAATGCAAATGATGGTTGATAAATAGCTATGTATGCAATGTGACCACTGGCTAAGTTAGGCCAATTCATAGCCAGTGGCCTCAAGGAACTTTATATTGCATGGTAAAGACCCTGCAATATAAAAGAAACCCCCAACAATCTAATGATCCCTTCTGAGCAAGCACTTGGCGACAGCGGGAAGGAAAAACTCCCTTTTAACAGGAAGAAACCTTCGGAAGAACCAGACTCAGGAAGGGGCAGCCATCTTCCACGACTGGTTGGGGCATAGATGGTACAAAACATGGACATAGCTTGTTCGTTGGAAACTTGAAGCCAATACAGAAGAACCTTAAGTGTACATTCAGTCTGAAGTCTACCAGATGGCAACAGCTAGCCTGATGCAAACCTATAGAAATCTATAGGAAAACAGCTTTCTTTCTTGATCCACTCCTCCTTAGCACATCTGGTTTTTGAAGACTGGAGTTGGACACCCCTGTTCTATATTGTCTATGGGGCTTGAGGGGAAAGAGTTGTAGTGGTGTATATACATGGGAAGTCGAAAGATGGGAGTGGGGAAGAAATGCTCAGTTCCCCTTACTTACTGCAAACTACCTTTCAGAAATGGGGATAGATGTAGTCAGAAAATGCAAAAAACAAGGCAGCACCTTGGAGCCATCTTGTCCATCCCCCATGATCCTCCACGTCTCTGGGTTGAAACGTCTGCTCTTGTTGAGTTTCCATGTGAGATGAACTTTCTGTAGGGATGTCCTTGTTTTTCTCCTCCAGGTCTGTAGTTTCGCTTGTTTTAATCCTCTCTTCCTTTTCAGTTGACTCATTGGATTCAGGTGTGAGCTCAAAACTACTTTGATGGGGTTCACCTTTATCAAGCTCTTGCATTTCTTTTTGCAGAGCCTGTTCATTTTGTCTCATTTCCTTCTGACAATCAGCCAACTTTTTGGTAAGCTCCTGGACTTCCTGTTCCAGAGCGTTGTTTTGTTCCTTTATTCTGTTACTCTCTTCTTCAAAGGATTTGAGTCCTTGCAAAACAGATTTGAGCTCCTTAACTTCTTCCTGAATAGCAATGTTTTTTGCTTCAATTTCTTGTTTCAGGTCTTGGTTTTGATTGTTCAGAGACTCGTTTTCCTGTTTTGATTCCTCATACAGTTCCTTAAAATCTTTGAAATTTTCCAGGCTTGCGTTTGCCTCATGGATGTCATTTTGAAGAGCCTGGATTTGCTGTCTCATTTTATCTTCTTCATTTTGAAAAGTCTGTTTCAAGTCAAACATGCTCTGTATTATAGCATCATTGTCTAATCTGTATGCCTGGTTGTCTGTTTGGAGATCTTCAACTTTTTCCTGCAATGCCAGCTTCTCCATTTCATACTCTTCACGGTTACGGTGCATTCTTTCTTCCAGAGCCTGTTCATTTTGTCTCACTTCCTTCTGACAATCAGCCAACTTTTTGGTAAGCTCCTGGACTTCCTGTTCCAGAGCGTTGTTTTGTTCCTTTATTCTGTTACTCTCTTCTTCAAAGGATTTGAGTCCTTGCAAAACAGATTGAGCTCCTTAACTTCTTCCTGAATAGCAATGTTTTTTGCTTCAATTTCTTGTTTCAGGTCTTGGTTTTGATTGTTCAGAGACTCGTTTTCCTGTTTTGATTCCTCATACAGTTCCTTAAAATCTTTGAAATTTTCCAGGCTTGCGTTTGCCTCATGGATGTCATTTTGAAGAGCCTGGATTTGCTGTCTCATTTTATCTTCTTCATTTTGAAAAGTCTGTTTCAAGTCAAACATGCTCTGTATTATAGCATCATTGTCTAATCTGTATGCCTGGTTGTCTGTTTGGAGATCTTCAACTTTTTCCTGCAATGCCAGCTTCTCCATTTCATACTCTTCACGGTTACGGTGCATTCTTTCTTCCAGAGCCTGTTCATTTTGTCTCATTTCCTTCTGACAATCAGCCAACTTTTTGGTAAGCTCCTGGACTTCCTGTTCCAGAGCGTTGTTTTGTTCCTTTATTCTGTTACTCTCTTCTTCAAAGGATTTGAGTCCTTGCAAAACAGATTCGAGCTCCTTAACTTCTTCCTGAATAGCAATGTTTTTTGCTTCAATTTCTTGTTTCAGGTCTTGGTTTTGATTGTTCAGAGACTCGTTTTCCTGTTTTGATTCCTCATACAGTTCCTTAAAATCTTTGAAATTTTCCAGGCTTGCGTTTGTCTCATGGATGTCAGTTTGGAGAGCCTGGATTTGCCGTCTCATTTTATCTTCTTCATTTTGAAAAGTCTGTTTCAGGTCACACATGCTCTGTATTATAGCATCATTTTCTGACCTGAGTGCCTGGTTGTCCGTTTGGAGATCTTTAACTTTTTCCTGCAATGCCAGCTTCTCCATTTCATACTCTTCGTGTTTACAAGGCATTTTTAAGTTGTTTTTAAGTTGCTCCAGAGCACTTTTACTTTTCCATTCTTGATCATTTTGTTCATAAGCACTCTCCTTTGCTTGAACTTGTTGTCTCAAACCTTGATTTTCACACTGCAAATTGGCAACACAATTGTTCAGCTCTGAATTCTCCAAGCAAAGCTTCTCATTTTGTAGTTGTAGTTCCCTTTTTTTCTTGTTTTTAGAAAACCCATATTCTTTGAGAAGCAGTTCAATGGTTTTTCGGAGGTTTTCGTTCTCATCTTTGAATTCCCTCACTTGCTGGCGAAGGTTTTCATTCTCTTCCATCACATCACTGGAAATGGAGGGGAACTCAGACATTTTTGTAATTTAACTAAAGTTAAAATCTACTGCTACTTACAACAGTGCTAACTGTGTTCCTTGTTCACTTCAAAAAAGTGTCTCAAATTACAAGCGTATAAGCTGTTTGCCTCTTCAGTGAGGTTGTAACTGAATGGACACAGGGTTTGGGTTACTTATATAGATTTCAGATCAAAGGAATTCTAATAGAATGTGATGAGTCATGCTGATGTCATAAGAAACATGTGATGTCACAATGAACATGTCAGATGAAATGATGGAAAAAATAACAATAGCATTGTCTGGTAAATTGATTAATGATTCCATGATCTTTGAACCTGTAATGGACTTTATTAAAAAATTTAACAAGTGAATTAAATGTTTTTAGATAAATTTGTATTTTAATGAAAATTTGCTGAGCTCTTTTGTGCAGGATTGTGATGTGTGCATTGTGCCACATTTAAATCTGGCACAATGTAGACTTTACTTTAAAAATAAAGTAAAACAATTTATGATAAAGTTAAAAAAGTTCTTTATTGGCCTTTCACTGCTCTAATTTCTGAAAGACAGAAATTAGAAATTTGTATCAGCAGTGTCATCCTCTGAATGCTTCATCACACTGTGAGTTATGTTTTTATCCTTCAAGACTGAGCTGATGGAGAACAGGGTTTTTTTTAATGTATTTATTTTACTTAAATTCACCAAGTCATCATCATTACCTCAACTTGAGTTCATAGATGATCCAGTTTTAGTTTTTTTGTTATTAAATGTCCCCCTCTGTCCCTACACGTAAAACCCTGTTAAAAATCAAGATTGCTCTAAACGATCCAAGGACATATAAATGTCATCTGTGTGTGTAGCAATTTCTTAAATAAGCATATTAAATAATATTAAATTAGTGCACAGTTGAAAGGATTCAGGTCTTTTCTACCTTTTTTTTAAAAATTCAGTCATATTGTACGATTAAATTCTGCTGCTGCTGCTGCTGCTGCTGCTGACATGAACACTGAAATCGGATGTATTCTATGGATGTTCATTTAAATTTGTTTGCTGCTTGTGTGATTACAGATGCAGTGAGAATCATGTTTCCCAGGCTTCCACTGAAGACATCCTAAAACTTTCCACATACTGAGGATAGAGGACATTGACGATGCTATGTCACTGCTCCTGTCCAAGGAGAAGAGCCTACAGGTTCTTTGTGTGAACAAACTCATTTTAATGGAGGAATTTGTGTTGTGCGTCACATTCCCTGTAGACTTTTTCTTCTTTTGTTTTATGTAGTGTGTGGTTTCCATTATACGAAAGCATTGTGTGCTTTTGAGGACCCCAGGTTTTGAGAAAAATAGTCGTTTGATTCTTTTGTGTGTGCTTCTTTTTATTTAAGGCGTGTTTACGTAGTAATGTTGTCGCTGGTCTGTATATCCACAGTTAAGTTTTGCTCTCAAAAAAAGCAGCCCCTGGGCACCTTCCATTTACACTTATGTTGTTGCGCCCCTGTGGATATGAGGGATATGTGGACTGTTATTTCGTGATTACAGAGGCTAAAATACCACACATGCTAAATGTTTACAATTAGAGCATCGGAAAGCACCACAAGGCTTTTCCTTGAAAATCAGAGGGCAGCACATTGATTGTTTCCTTCCTTTATTTACCATGTTTCTTGGCAGAGGTAAGGTGAAGTGTCTGAATCAGGGCATTTTTAAATGCCAAACACGCTCAGCTTAACAGGAGGCAAATGTCATTCAGAAGGTCAGTGTTTCATAAGTGGAAATCTGTGTTAAGGTAAAGTATTTAGATGGTGGGCTTTTAACTTTTCCTCACAATGGTGAGTCCATTCATATTGTGACTGCGGTATGATAACACAATTTCTAAGTCATTTAATTCTGTCTGTTTGTATTGTCTCACAGCCCGCCTGCCTGTATTCAAAGCATAAACAATTGCTTTAATCTCTGGGCTCTGCTGCAGTGCTGTTGCTTTACAGTTGGGCCTACCTCAGTGGAATGAAAAGCAAACAGTACAGTGGAAGAGCAACTTGATAATCATCTTTTCAGTTTATAAAGTGGGCAACTTTAGCCTCACATGAGCTTGATTAGGAAAATATACTATTATGTTTGAGTGGGATTTGGCATGTGAGTGATTAGGTGTAGCAGTACAGATTGGGAAAAATATTTGTTTACAAATAAATCTCAATAATTTGCACTGTGAGTTTTACTTTGGGTGTAGGCTTTGATTAGCTAGTGTGTACTGCTGCTCTGAGGTTCACTGCTATTTGTTAATTTAGACAGCTGAATCAAATGAGATATAACCAGATATCACCTAAGCTGTCATAAATAAGTATATAGTGTCATGGTCCTGGGTCGTGCGACCCGGTGTTTTGTGTTTAGTCTATTTTGATGTTTATTGATTGTTTAGGTTCATTAAGGTAGTCCAGCCATTTGTATATATCACCCTTGCATTACGTCTCCCTTGCCCTTCGTGTGTTTATGTCTGTGCGTCTTGTACTGTCAAGTTCATGCTGTCAGTATTGTCACCTCCCCCTGTACTACGTCTCCCCGGTTCATGTCTCATGTTTCCTGTTTTACTTTGAAGGCCTGCATTCACTGTCAGTGTATTCAGTTTCACTCCTCCTGTCCTGTCGTTAAGTTCATGTGTGTCAGCTGTGCTCCCATGTGTGGCCACTTCCCCTGATCATTCCTCATGTGTATTTAGTCTCTGTGTTTCTTAGTCTGTGTCGCGTCGTCTGTGTTCCCACCCTCTGTGTTTCCATGCCCGGTCTGTCGTCCACGCCATGTTTCCCATGCCATGCTTCCAAGTTTCCTGTCTAGGTTTTTCTTATTGTTTGTTTAGATTCCCCAGTTTAGGTTTGTGTTAATTTTGCTTCAGTTTGCCTTGCCCTTTGTTTGTACCTTTTCTACCAGCCATATTAAACGGCTCGCTTTCTGTTACGCTCACTCCCGTCTGCTCACTTGTGTACGCACCTGGGTCCATTACACACACCACCGCACGGCCTGTCTCTGCAGACCGTGACATATAGTATGAATGAGACAGGTGCGACCCTAATCTGGGAACCACCCCTGGTAGGCAAGGCTGGTTTTTCCCTTTAATAAGGACAGGGGCAGGTAATTGCCAACTTAGCAACTTTGTTACTATATTTAGCAAGTTTTCAGACCCCTTATCAACTTTTTTTCTAAAAAGTAACTAGCGACAAATCTGGCGACTTTTTCTGGTGTTTTTGGAGACGTTGACTTGAAATGTATCGCATATGTGTCGCTCTTACACTCAACAAGCGGGCGTGCTCCTGTGTGCACCTCACCTGTGCCAAGGCGCTCACAGGCGGCGGCCTTAACTCCATCTTGTACACCCGACTGAAGTTATGTCCATTTTGATTGTCAATGTAGTTTGTTAACAACGTTATGGCTGAAATGTTCTTCTTTTGCTGTTACTTTTTGTGGATCACAAGGTTTAAAAGTACTTAAACACACAAACACACTTTTGCTGGTCCCAAATCTGGATAAAGGAGGAGGGTTTGAATTGTGACATTAAAAAAAACAATAATTCCTAAAAAGAAATTTAATTTGTAGTTCTAAATATATTCCAAATGCGTTTAGGGTGCTTTTACTCACATTATGCCTCTTCCACAATGTTATTTTTCTCTCCTACAGCAGCCATTCCAATTACATAGGCATGACCAATTATGCAAATTAAGCGATGCCATCATTTAGCGACTTCTAGTGACTTTTAGGATGGCCAATAGCGATGTTCCTTACTGAGGAGTTGGCAGCACTGATTAGTCGAGCTCTTGAGTGAACCTGGAGCTGTGTGACTGCCTGGTCTACGCTGTGCTATTTGGCCTTTTTAACTTTTCTATGGCAGCTTGATGTGGGTTGTGTGAGTACAAGAAAACAATTATTAGAATATGATGTGTCAAATTTGTTTAGATCAGAGGAATAAGGAAGGATTTGTCTGTGTGTTTCAGTTTGGCTTAGCTGTAGGCTTGCGAGTGTGTGTAATTGTTTAGAGGGAAAGGATTCACATTCACTTACGTGCACTTACATAGACATATGGGTACGCGCACACATAGGCACTCACGTGCTTGTGCATACACACACAGACACAGAGTTTGCAGCACACCATGGGGGTTTTATGATGGGGTTGCTTCTACAAAACTGTGTTTCACAGACAAAGGAGTGAAGATTTGCAGAGGGACACCGGCCTTGCACATCTCCCCTTCTAGAAGATGCATGCTTAAATGAAGATGAATAAAGATGAATAAAGGTTTTTGTGAAAATGACTACTGAGTTCTGGTGCCATCTCTGGATGTCCAAGGAATAAAAAGAACCGGGGTGAAACTGATTTCGCAACAGTTGATTAGTCTTCTATTGGAGTGGTAGGTCACAGAAAATGTTCTGCTTGAGTTTTGGTAGAGTTTTGAAGTTATTTGTACCCCTGTAGGAAAAAACATAATTTAACGCTTCTGGAGAAACTTGTAGTGGACTCTGTCACCCCTGGCTGATACTTATTAGGGTGCGACCCTAACCTGGAGACAGGTAACTGAAAAACAGATATGACGCAAAGTGGGAGGGATATTCCTTCTGAGGTAAAGTGTTCAGTGATGTCCTATTTTATTTTACAGATTGCCAAGCTGCTGCTTTGCCGCGGTGGATTTCTTGCTGTTGGGCCAAGGTGCTGATACGCTGGTGGCTCTATTGTAATTTGTGGTTTCATCCACACTCCGGACTCGCATATAAACACAGACGGTTTCCATCTGATCCGGGCAGACAGAACAATGGAGAGTGGCAAGAAGAGAGGAGGGGGTTTGGCTGTGTTTGTGAACAATAGATGGTGTAACTCAGGGCATTTATCTATCAAAAAGATGCTATGCTGTTAGGACATTGAGCTGCTAGCGGTTAGCATGAGGCTGTACTATCTACCGCAAGAGTTTACACACGTCACTGTGATAGCTGTGTATGTCCCGCCCTCTGCTAACGCTGCAGCAGCCTGTGAGGTCCTGCACACTGTAACCAGCAGACTTCAAACACAGCACCCTCAGGCCCTTTTCCTGATCTCTGGCAACTTTAATCACATCTCCCTGTCCTCCACTCTCCACACCTTCACCCAGCACGTCACCTGCCACACCAGAGACATTAAAACATTGGACTTA